CACCCATTACGAACTCCTGGTGGACATCAAAAATCACCGGCTTTTGGCCAAATCACTCAGCTCACCTCCCGTGGAGAGGTGGTCGAGTGTGAGTCCCACACAATCAAAACCATCGCCGGATCATCACCATACCACCAACTCCTGCAACGGTTCCCAGAAATAACGCTACCTAACGGTACGGCTCAAGTCGCTAACCACGCCACGAAACACCACTCCTGGACCGCCGGTCGCGCAAAAGCCGCAACGACTCGCACCCGACAAACTTCGCGCCCCCAAAAAAGAATTTGATCTCATGGTACACATAGGTATCGCCCGCCCATCGCAGAGTCCATGGTCTTCACTCCTACGCATAGTCCCAAAACACGGCGACGAGTGGAGGCCATGTGGCGACTACCGCGCACTCAACGCCAGAACAATTGCAGATCGCTTCTCGGTAAAACACATCCAGGATTTTTCTCAGTCGCTGTCTAGAGAAACAATTTTTCTACCATCGACCTCGTGTGCGCATTTAATCAGATACCGGTCGCCGAAGAAGATATTCCGAAAACAGCCATCACGACACCCTTCGGCCTATTTGAGTTTATGTACATGATTTTCGGGCTACGAAACGCGGTGCAGACCTTCCAGCGCTTCATCGATGAGGTACTGCAAGGTCTCGACTTCTGCTACGCATACAACGATGACATCCTCGTCGCATCGACGTCCACGGAAAAACATCTCCAATACCTAGAAACACTTTTGCAGCTACTGCAGAAATACGGAGTTGTCGTCAATCCAGCCAAATGTATTTTTGGAAAAACCAATGTCAAATTTCCCGGCTACCTAATCTCCTATGCTGGTACACGCCGGTTACCCGACAAAGTGGAAGCCATCCGCGCCTACCCACGCCCGAACACTATCAAGCAACTGCGCCAGTTCTTGGGGATGGTGAATTTCTTCAGGAGATTCCTTCCAAGGCTGCCGAAAATCAAGCACCGCTCAGTAACCTCCTCCAGGGCAACGCAAGGGGAAAAACACCGGTCGAGTGGACACCTGCGGCCATCCAAGCTTTCGACACGTGCCAGGAAAGTCTCGCTGGGGCGACCTTGCTCAACCCCGGCGCCACGCTAGCCATTTTTAGCGACGCTGCCGAACACGCCATCGGAGCCGCCGTCAAGCAATTTGTCGACGGCGCCTAAAAGCCACACGATTTCTTTTCAAAGAAATTAAGCCCGGCCGAATCCAAGTATACAGCGTACGATCGCGAACTACTCGCGATATACCTCGCAATCAAGCACTCCTGACACATGGTGGAAGGTCGTTCGTGCACAGTCTGCACGGTCCACAAACCCATCACCTACGTCTTGAGGAAGAAAAACAGTGCTCGCCTCGACAATTCCGGCACTTAGAGTTCAAAAGCCAATTTACCACCGACATTCGTCACATATCCGGAGAAGACAACATCGTCGCTGACGCTCTTTCCCGAATTGACGAGCTTGAGTCCATCCTCAACTACGAAGCCCTCGCAGCCTCACAACAAGATGACGAAGAATTGCAGAGTTATCGAGAAAACAACTCCGCACTGCAACTTCGATTAATTCACATTTGTAACGTCAGCAGTGCGTCCATTGAAAACCAAAGCATTCCAAAAGGCAACCGCCAGCCGTAAGGATCCACCAGCTGTTGTTACGACACCATCATCGACGCATCGCACCACCAGGTCCGATAGACGCGTCCGTTTCACAGATCGGCTCCAAGGTGGATTTTCGTAATTCACACCCTGCGCGAATCACTTGCAGGGGGGTACTGTGGGGGCTGGCAAGTCCCACAAAATTGTATAGTATTTGTATATTTGTATACAATCCGTATTTAATTACTCCCAACCAGTATCACCCAGAAACTTTCTCTTCGTCCACATGCATGTCGTAAAACCTATCTTTTGTTCACCCTTCTTAGTAATATTTATCGTTTCCCAGATTTCGAATACCTTCCTAGAACTCTTTTAACACAACTATTTTCACCGCTTTCTACAGACCTTTCTTTTCATTTCAAATTCACAACCTCCAGGACTCTTTCTTCATCTGCCGAACCGACAACATCAAAATAAATACACCAAAACGCAAGTGCTGTTTCAATCAGCTGATCACCCCACACGTAAATAAATCTAAATCTACGTACGTTTGAAAACTGGAAAATGATTCATTCATTAGAAACCATGAACCGTATAGAAAACATTAAATTAGCCATTTATCAGGTTTTGGAGTTTCCAAATCTTGAAGGTTTGTCTCTTGATAACACTAATTTTTTTATCTGATATGCTAACCCCACCTTTAGAATATAGTGTATGTTTAAGGAACACCGTTAAAAAAATTGGTGATTATTGTAATACGGATGAATTAAAAGTTTACCGTAAAAAAGTAATACTTTAATTGTAAACATATTTTTTAAAAGTTTTTTGTGATTATAAGTTTCAAAAATAAGTGAACTTCCTGACGGGTAAGTTGAAAATTATAGTTAGAATTTACCATGTACGCGTTTTTTTTAGTGTACATAATAATCATTAACGAATTTATTATAACTTGCATTTCCACCTCTATTAAATCTCCAGATTTGTGTTCTAATGGTACTTCTTATAAAAAAGGGGCGAATTCTAGACCAAAAAAAAGCCAAAATAGGCGATCACAATTGTGGATTTAGACCCGAAAATGGCAAAATAGGCGCATTAGGCAAGACTTATTGATAAAATATGCCACTGTTACATATAATAATTTCGATTCCAGTAGATGTGATGTACCAGCTGCCCCTTCAGATAATTTTCTACAATATTTGCAACGTATTGCCCATTAGAAATTGTACTCTCATCTACTGGCAATCCAAATATCGTGAACCCCAAAGTCTGTTCTAACTCTGTTAATCACCTACAAAAAAGCGAAATGTTTTGTTCTTAAGTTTCTTCAGTGTTATATTTGCCGCAACAAATGCACTCCCTAATAGTAAAAAATTCTCTTGTGGTCTTCGCTACAAAATAAACAAATTAAAGTTTGCCTGCTATCTTTGGTAACATTTGCATTGTGCATGAGTGCATGTTAGTATTTTTCATGTTGAAGAACCTGGCACTTCTTTTGGTATGAAATCTAGGAATTTATCGAATTAATTTCACAACGAGTTTTCCAATTTGAATTGTGCAACATTAATAATAATTTTCACTAACAATTTTCGAACAGGCTTTACAGAACAATTAGCCGTTTTTTATTTGAAAAACGTCTTTGTTTTTCGTTCGTTTCCTCAACTTGTCCTTTAAAGATTTTTGGATTATGTCGGCATTTTGCTGACCGAATTCTCCCGATCCTTTTACCCAAAACTCGAGTTGGTTTATCTTTTTTTACGGTACCGGAAATATTATATTGTCGCGTGCAAACTTGTTTGATCTACAGACCACAGCGCATTCAGGCCAATGTCGACTCTAAGCGTTCAGAAACGATATTAGCCATGTTCCCTGATCTGATGCACATCCTACGGAAAAACAAATTATTCAGTTATGTTCATGCATCTTATAAAGTGGCTAATTGTAGCAAACTCACTAATAAAGTGGCTAGAAAATTTTTACAGGTGCTTTCAAGTTAACAAAATTTATTTAATCCTAACTGGATGTGCTTATTAATAATATGCAGTGTACCGAAACTTGGAGATTTAAAACTGAACCTTCATTTAATTTTAAAAGACAAGAGAAAATATCACAAGATCAATTATTCATATTGTTATCGCACTTTGACTTGCAATTAAGGTTATTTGACTAAATTTGACGATTGAAACTAATTTAATAGTCGCTGCAAAAGAATATTTTAAACACTGCACTGGAACCAATATGCATCTGGACGATTGGACACACCCCTAAATTTTAACACGACGCAATACTTATTAAGTGCATTTTGTAGCTTTTACGATTTCTAGAAATCCCTGACATTTTTTTTTGTGGCGCCATGTGCAACCGAAATTCTGAGAAAGAAATAATCTTTTCCTACGCTAACATGCATACAAAATTTCTTAAAATGACCCGTGACAGTTATTTTCCAGATCAACGAAACACATGTGTGTACTGTTTGCTTAAAATTTCAAGTCGTTCAATATATGTATTTTTCTCAAATCGAGATCAAATAATCGGACTATTAAATGATTGGCCGCTCGCTATAATTAAAATATACTGGCGCTTACCACAGTACATAAATGATGTACTAGATTAGTAATGGAAGAATTCATGCAGTTGGCATGCGTGGCGCACGGCAATTTTAGTATATCTTATATTGATGGGACTTAAAAAAACCGAAGAATGTGTATTCGCATGTGGTAAATACTAAATAGTAGCACTGGTAATGTTGAATTATCAGCGAAGTGAACAAAGTGTCTATTATGTAGTAAGTATCTACCATGAAGCTGAACAAGCACTGAATTGGCTAGCAAACTCTCGATCTATCAATTAGAAATTCAGAAAATTCCAGGATTCAGCGTTGCCACTGCCTCCGTGATTCAAGTTACGACATTTTAACTGAACTGACCACCACCAATTTTACAGAGCTACATTAAAGTGTTGAATTCCAATCAAAGGTAACTGTATATATCAGTATACAGGGAAAACTTAAATTTAGAACATTCCTGAATAATACTATCAGTATTTTTTAGTTTCTAATATAGGTAACCAAAATTTCGTATATTGCCAGTAAGAACCTTTATATACTTTAACATTATTTTTAGTACCTATATACAAGAAAATCTAAAAAGTACTATCAGCTGTCAGTAATTTATTTTACAACAAAATTTTGTTAACTACTATGGAATAAGTACTTATTTTCATTGCAACAATATCATAATGAAAATGAGCTTGTAGTTTCAAACAAGAGGAAACAAGCCATTTTTGAAAATAATCCCACTAGTATTGATGAAACTGAACTAGAATCAAAATTTAAAAAAATTAATGGGTCAACACCAGTATTACTCTCGTCGTTGATTCTCAAGCTCCAAGTAATTTTGGCACAGAAACAGGAATTGCGTCAACCTCAACAGTTACAGACTTACGAAATAGCGACTGTGGTCAAAACTTTTCGTTCTTGTCTGTTGCACAAGAAATTCACGACTTTAATTTGAGTGCTATCTTAGAGGGAGATGTTATTGGGCGAGTCATTTTAACAAAACACAACAAGAATCTAAAAGTAACTAACAGAGATCGAAACAGGTTATGTGAAATAGTAATTTCTTATTTTTTGAACAAATCTGTTAAACTGAATAACGATTTTTTGTCGCTCATGGCGGATGAAATTACAAAGCTCATCCCTACTGAAAAAAAACTACTTATTTCGTAAGCCCCATCAAAAAAATTAATTCCAGATTTAATAAACCTGAAGTAGCAAGAAGAAAACTTGTGGACAAACACAGGAATAAACTAACAGCTTTAAGAAGAACAATAGAATTCCCACCTGTGCCAAGTAATTATAATACTGAACCTACTTCTAATGGTGAGTTGCAGTATTTTTCCGGTATTCAATGTTTATAAAAAATGTTCCAGAACCGTCACAGAGTCCTAAAGACAGTCAAATTTGGCCTTTGCATAATCGTGAAACTGTAGAAGATGTGTTACAATGTAATGGAATGAGTAAGTTTGAATTCGTTAGTCAGCAAATGCTTGTCCATTGCAAGGAACTAGGTCATCAATAGTGTATAAAAGTGTATGTGATAGGTAAAACAAGGAAGTGTTAAGTCTGGGTTTGTAGTGGTAATATGGGTAAATAAATGAATAATAAATATGTCGTGGCTATTAGAGAGGACATCACAACAACATCGGATAAATGCTTATGGAATACGAAAATTTTGTAACAACAAGAACGCGACAATAGAATCTTTTCTTAATGAATGGCCGATTTTGAATGAGCAGATAGCTATAGAATTGGTGAATATTATTCTAAATACAAAATTAAATCCTCAAGTGAAGTGTTCACATTTTTTAGGTCTCATACGACTTCAAACAGATGTTCCAACTTGAATTAACCGCAATTGATTTAGAAAATGCTTTTGAAACATTATTTGAATCTGTAATTCATAAAAGAAGGAGTAGTTTAAATCCAACTGATGAAACGTTTCTACAATTACTTGCTGGGAATATTACCACAGGTATTTAAATACATACATGACCATATCTAATGTAACTACTGTTTATACACATAAAATTGAAGTAGCAATTTTTGGCCGGTATATACATAATACATATTAACATTTTCAGATTCAAAGAATGCCGTTAATCTCTAAGTACTTGCTGTTTTCTTTAGTACCAGTTAAAGGAAGAACCAGAATTGGTCAATAACATTGGAAACCTTCTAGAACAGAAAACCGTGATGGATTCTTTTTACACGTAAAGGTGCCTGGAGATATTGAAAAAGCAAAACAGGAGAAAATTGACTGTAATTACTGCAGAGGTACAACTGTTCAACCGTATATCATTTTAGTAGGAACTAGTTTGAATAATATTTCAGCGGCATATGTTGTTGTCAACAATAACACCTATAAAAATATTTCGGTGTTAGATGCAATTGATTTTTGTTTTAAAGTTAATGCATTCACTTTTACCAAGATTTGACTGTAAACAAAGCAATTGTTTTAGAAGCTGTTCAACTATAAGTGATCTTCGAAAACACTTTAATAAGAATCACAATGAGTTAGTTGTTGCCCAAACAAATTTACGCGTACCATCTATTTCTGAAAGGAGTAGGAATATCTCTTGCAGCAAAGATGAAAATATTTTTTCCACTGCCCACGAAAGTAAAGACGAAATGACATCGGTTCATTCGAAAGCAATTTTAAGAGACGAGATTTTGTCTTTGCTAGGTCGTTTCTATAGTATACCTTCCTTACCAAGAAACATAGTTCAAATTGTTTTTGATCATATTTCTGAGTTGTTTAATACTTTTTTCGAATTTTCAGAGAACTTAATAACAAAGTCAAAAACAAAGGAAGATGTTTCTCACAAATTCACACAGATGTTTAATAATGTAAAAGAAACATTTACATCACTTTGTTCAAAATACTTACGTTTAAAGTTTTTTGAAAATTCTCAACTTTACGTAAAACCCGAAGCTTTTAAAATAGGAGAGCGCTCTACGTTACAACAAATTAATACTCCCGAACAGCCGAATTTAATTTTTAAAAAGGCAGAAGGTCAAATCATCAATTTGCGAAAAGTTTTAAAACTATTCCTAGAATTACCTGGCATTTTCAATAATATTATATCTTTTATGGATTCCGAACTATTCGCCCCACCAGATTTACTATCAAGTTTTGTTCAAGGAGATTTATGGAAAGCGGTAAAAAAAATATTCCCTAAAGATGTAATTGTTCTACCTCTCTTGCTCTATTTCGACGATTTTGAGTGTTGCAACCCACTAGGCAGCAGAACAGGAGTGTACATAATTGGAGCACTATACGTTTCTTTGGCGTGCATACCAACAGACTATATCTCATTATTTGAAAATATTTTCTTGGCGCAGTTATTTTACTCTTCTGATAGAACTTATTACGGAAACAAAAAAACTTTTGCTCATTTGTTGAAAGACCTGGCTTTTTTGGAAACGGAGGGTATTACAATTTCCGTTAATTCTATGCAACTGAAAATTTATTTCACACTTGTATTAGTTCTGGGAGACAATCTAGGTGTAAATTCTTTGCTAGGATTGCAAGAAAGTTTTTCATCTAATTTTTTTTGTCGAATTTGTAAAACTCCTAAAGAAATAACGAAAACTCAAAACGCTGAAAATATCTTAACACTTCGTACAAAAGAAGCATATGATAATGATGTTTCCTCTACTTCTTAGGGAATCAAAGAAGTTTGCATATTCCACCAGCTCCAACATTTCCACTGCACAAAAAATATTTCACTGGACTTAATGCATGCATTAGAAGGTATTCTGAGATATGACATGGCACATATTTTAAATTACTTAATTTATGTAAAATAATATTTTACTTTGGACAATATTAACAAGAGAATTCAACTTTTCAAATTTTCGGAAGTCGATTTAGGAAATCCTATGCGAGAAATTAAAGCAGATCATATAAAAAAGAAGCATATTGTAATGAGCGCGTCAGAAATGTTATCTTTTTTTACTTATTTTGGTATAATAGTGGGTGATCTAGTTCCAGAAAATGACGAATCCTGGGAGTTGTATATAAATTTGTACCAAATATTGCACATTTTGTTAAGTATAAGTTATATCTAAAAATACCGTTCAACATTTGTTTTATTTAATTGAAGAGCATCACACCTTGTATTGTAACTTATTTATGGATTCTCTCAAGCCTAAACATCATATGTTATTACATCATCCTCCCAGTTTTATTTTAAATGTTGGACCACCTAGGTAGGTACGTATGGTCAATGAGGTATGAAGCTCCCCACAAATGTTAGTCTTCTACACATGTAGTTAGTTACGTCAAGGAAAAATATTCGCTTTTCATATAGAAGAATAAGTAAAAAGGGATTTGTAAATGATATTGAATATGGGCCATCCTATGACATCAGCAGTTTATTTGATTATAACTATATAGATTATTTGCTTAAGACCAGATTCGAAAGCACATTTATGGAAAATAATAGTTGTAGTTTACATTGGTTAAAAAGCGATAATATAATGTACAAATTAGGTTTTGTGCTGCAAATATCTGACGATGAGATTCCTAAATCTGGTGTTATAAAACACATAATTATGATTGAGAGGACTATATGTTTTATACTTAACCCATCTGTCGTAAATTTTAATTTTCATAGGCAAACTTACGAAATTCTATCAGACTTCGAAAATACTTTATCACCTAACAACTGGATTTTATTGTTAAAAAATGAACTTGTTAACAAAATGCCTTCAAGTGTGCATTACACCGGCGATGGCACCAAAGTTATAAGTTTTATGCAATAAGACAGGAATATATTATTGCATAATATCTACCCAATGTTTGATAAAGATTGTTAACTTAAGTTATTATATTTTTTTTGCGTTCCTATTTGTGTTGAAATCAATATTGTTTTCCTTTTTTATATATAAACAATATAAAATACTCTGAGTTTTATTCAAAACAGACCTTTCATAATTTAAATAAACTTTAGACTTGATACAAATAATTGAATATTTTAAATGAAAGAAATGTCTAATTGACTGGAATAAGTCTTGTTAAGTAATATGAAAAACATTCTTTTAATGCAATAATATTTATATGTTAAATACTCTTAGTACATATTTGAGATAAATAAAAATTGTCTTAATACAAATAAATGTAAATGTTGTTTCAAATAGTTTTATTATAGAGTATAAAGTAACTGTTTTTTAATTCAAACATATATTTATTTAACTTTGGAGAGATTTACAAACAAATGTTATTTTATTATAAAAAAATAATTTTTTGAATATATCAAAGAAATAAAAGTGCGAAAACAAATAAATATTTCATTCCCCGTATAGAAATAACATATTTCTTTGGGCTAAACAAAATTTATTCGCCTTAAGCAATATTTTTTATCTGTGCAGTAAAATGTTTATTTTTTAAATTTAATACCTCAATCCCTTCTTCTGCATCTGTGGAACGGGTGTTTAGTAGCGGAAAACAAATTCTGAGACCAAGAAGAAGTAATTTAGGTGACAATACGTTTGAAATGTTGTTAATTTTAAGAAATTCATTAAACAATACATAAAAAAATACATAAACATGTTTTCAGTTATTTTATTCGCCAAAGCTTCAAAAAGTATCTATTTTCTTGCAGAATCTAGATACATTTCGAAAAAATCGAAAACAATCTGTATCTAGATACTTTTAAAAGTACCTGTCCCCAACACTGCGTTTGATTATGGAATATATGGCAGATTTATCACCATACCAATGAACACGATAACCCGAAATAGTTCTATTCTGTTAAGTAAGAAGATACTTTGTTCTAGACTGGATCATTCACAGTTTGTATTTTTCAGTTAACCCGACTTTCGAACTAACATTCAACCTGCAAGAAGTTCCAAGAAATGGCACAGTCTATTTTAGAGCGGTCAACAGTACCTACGTTGTATATGCTACCACAGCAAACTATATTTAATTATACCGAAGTATTTGATGGTCAGTGGCAGAACGGTGCTCTAAATGCCAAAATTAACCAAAACGGAAACGACGCGTGTAAATACTTGCTAGAACTATTTCCACATTTCTACACACAATATTTTATAGTCTGGTTCAATAATATTTTGCGAAGAGTACCGGCGCAGAACTTTGTTATCGTACCTTTGCAAACAAATTAAACACATGCAAGTAATTACCTTATTTATCCAATCAACTTTTTTTTAATACATTCCTTGGGTAAAAGAGTTAAAAAACAACCGCCAAGTTTATATTAGTCACAACCATCGTAATAAATTTCCGTTTCTAAATTATCGAGTACATCTTGAAGAATTCGTTCCAGACACGAATTCTTTCCCACATTCATGTTGCCCACGTCCACCAGAATTCCATTTTTCAACTCTTCCAGTACCTTTCGCGTGTATTCCAAGCTTCCAAAACTTTCCAGTATCTCCACAAAGAGTTTCTTATTTTCTACGTCCAGTGGTCTTTTCTTTTAACATATCCAAGACGGGCAATTAAGAAAATACATCGTGATATTGGATCCATGATAAAGTGAAGCTCCTATTTTATAAGAAGGATACTCAAAATGCGATGATCGTTGGGATCTGTGTGAATTGCATGCATTACACGAAAGTTGAATTTTCCCTCATCCAAAATCATCGAAAATTACTTCAAACAAGTTAAAAACTTTTAAATTGGTTCGTTACCTTGGGACTGTGCAAATTTATGTAGTCGTCATATATTTAACGATCCTGATGGTCGTTACGAATAAAAATTAACAATTTTTTATTCTATTTTATTAAATGATGATTACAAAACTTGAAACTATTCTAAGTTCGAATATAATAAAATAACGTTAGACTTTTCTAAGTCCGGACAAAATATAAAAGTAAAATATTTTATGATAAGACAGGAACGGCGTTACGGTATGATTTGAGACTTTTGACTGCAGATCACGACTCGAATGTTGAATACTTGAGTGTCGAATACTTGAAATGAATGTTCTGCTCGTTCTTCTCCCTTATATACTGAGGTTTGACCTCCTTTGGCGAAGATAAGCTGCACATGGGCTGATGTAAGAGCTTGCATCAGAATTACAGGTCAACCAAGGGTCGAGGGTTGATAAGGAGTACGAAACAAAGAAAGTTCGTTGCTCTAAGACGAATGTGCGTTGCATCTAGAAGTAGGCCAGTGATAACGAGTGCGTTAGCCTCAGGGTTAGAGGTCACTTCGGCAGGGTTGATAACATAAGCGAAGAAAGTTCATTGATCTAAGACGAAATGCGGTGCATCGGGAACCAAGTCGAATAAAATGTTAATAATGGAGTCTTCGGACGTAACATATATCTGAAGAAATTTACCTATTTTGTCACAAAAATCTACACTCAACTCGATTTTATCGTTTTTAGCACAGAGTTTTAACCATTGGACTCCCCACACGAAGGCAGTGGCATATTCTATGTTCGAACATAATTGCTCCATTCCGGCGCACGCGCGAGTGAGCGGAAGTAGTACGCTACTGAACGTAAAAGGTGCATGAGTGAACGGGTTTTGCTCTCGCGTGTTCCTCGTTGTGCTTCTCAAAATCAGGCTACCAAGAACCAGGGGCCCCTGTCACCGCCAGCAGGATACTCCAGGTTAGTGGTGCTTCTCAGTTATTCTCCGTCCTTCGCGCAAAGTTAAGTCACGGCACCCCGCGTGCACATTTGGTCCTAATCGAAGCCGGATCATAACCTCAAATTTGTCGATTTATCGTTTTCTCGATCGACGCTTTATCGCGTATCGCCGCAATGACTAACGAAGAATTGTTGCAATCTCAAATTAAGAAGCTCGCCGTATTGAAATCTACACGGGAAAAGTTATTTGCTCAAGTTCAAAACTGTTATGACTCCGTGAAGAGAACCACCGTTGATACAGCTCTTCAGTTCAAGCCTCGGTACGAAAAACTAGAGGTTATTGAGATAGAAATGGATAAGACTCAGAATGCAATTATTCAGCTAAATGCAGATTTATTGGATAATCGCCATGCTCTCGAAGTCTGTAAGGTGCAAACAGCTTTCGATGATTTAGTATTTAACACACGTGGTCGTTATTTAGACCTGGTGAAGACACAACCTCTGCAGCAAACCAGCAGTAATTCGGTCGCCAACAGCAACCAGCATTTGCCCAGAATAAATATCCCTACGTTCACCGGTCGCATCGAAGAGTGGTCGGCGTTTTTCTCACTGTTCGATTCGGTTGTCCACAAAAACGATGCGTTATCAGAAGCTGAAAAATTCCAGTATTTGCGCTCTTATCTGCGAGATGACGCATTAACAGTCATTGCCAATTTTCATTTAACCCCCGAAAATTACGCACTGGCGTATGAAGCATTGCAACTTCGCTACCAGAATAAAAGACGGTTGGCGACTCACTACGTCAATCAGATTCTAGGTTTTACTCCTTTATCATCCCCAAGTTCTAGCAGTTTGAGACATTTTTTGAATATTCATTCGAATTCCATTAATGCTCTTAAGGCTTTGAATCTTCAAGACCTTGGTGATTTCTTGCTGTTTCAATTATCGTTTGCAAATTTGGATCCTGTATCTAGAAAAGCTTTTGAGAATAGGCAAAGTTCAAATTCCGTTCCCAGCTATCAGGCGTTAATTGATTTCATAACGGATCAGAATCGAACGTACGAACTTCTCTCTCAGGACACGAAATCACCGAAATGTAAATCTCTATCAGTTAAGTCATTCCGTGCTTCACTCATGACAAATGCCAAATCCGATGCCCCCTCTACGTGCTCTGTCCCGTGCGTGCTCTGCAAAGGTTCACATCCCTTTCCGGCATGCAGCGAATTTCTCCAGAAAACAAATGAACAGAAATATGATACGTTGAAGAGATTGAGACGATGTTTCAACTGTTTGGGTGCTCATAATCGAAATGAATGTCAATCTCGTAAAACTTGTCGTATTTGTCACAGCAACAAGCATCACTCCGTGTTACACCAGGAGTCCAAGGTGGATACCTCCGAAACTAGTACTTCTCCCTCTGTAGAGGAAAGAAAATCTCCCGTTGTGTTTTCGTGCAAGACCTCAGCGCAGCGCAGCACTGTTTTACTAGCGACTGTGACAGCCCAGATCCAAGACTGTAATGGAGATTATCACAAGATAAGAGCTGTGGTTGATCCCGGCTCTCAAGTATCAGTGATTACTTCATCAACGGCGCAGCATTTGGGATTAAAAAGAAGCAGATCTCCCATTGAAGTTACTGGCATCGCCAGTTTTCCTGTCCGAACTCAAGGTCTCATTCGTACCACTCTACGCTCTAGAACTAGTGATGATGTCGTAAACGTTCACGCTGTTGTACTTTCAGATATTCCTAATAAATTTCCTAGTCAGACGTTACCTTCTCACATTAAGGATCAGTTCAGTCATCTAACGTTAGCTGATGAAAACTTCCATCAAGCTGCTCGAGTTGAATTCTTAATTGGAGCAGATTTATATCCTCACATTTTATGTAATACGCAGCCTAATGTTATTCAAGGACAACCCTCTGCCATTGACACAATCTTTGGATGGATAATTATAGGCTCGATTTCATCTTCAACAAATTCCCCCTTGTGTTCTCTTCTCACATGCACCGATTCTCTTGATGATACCGTTCGTAAGTTTTGGGAAACTGAGACTCTCGCTGATAACCTTTCAGTCTCCAATCCTGAAGATGACTTTTGTCAAGCTCATTTCAAGGACACGCACTATCGCGATCGCTCAGGCAGATATGTGGTATCAATGCCAGTCCGTGAGCAGCGCTCGCCGCTTCTCAGCAACCGAGAGACAACTCTGAACACTTATCTCAAAATGGAAACTCGAATGTCTCGACGTCCTCAACTCAACGCTGCTTATATTACTTTTCTCCAAGAATACCGCGATCTCGGACATATGCAACTAGCCGCACAACCTTCCATGTACGTAATGCCTCATCATTGTGTTCAAAAGGAAACTAGTTCAACTACCAAAGTGCGAGTTGTGTTTAACGGATCCTCCCCTGACTCAAACGGGACAACGCTTAATCAGCAACTTCTGCCCGGTCCTAAGCTACAAAAGGATTTGAGTCACATTCTCATGAATTTTCGCCTTCATGCTATAGCAGTCACAGCGGATATTCAACAGATGTATAGACAGATTTGGTTGAATCCAAAGCAACGTTATCTCCAGCACATATTCTGGAGGCCAGATCCCGCTTCTAATGTACAGGAGTATGAGTTAAAAACAGTGACATATGGTTTAGCACCATCAGCATATCTTGCTCAGCGTGTCCTTCTCCAGCTCGTCGAGGACGAAGGGCATGAGTTCCCATTAGCAGTGCAAGCTATCACAGAAAGCACCTATGTGGACGATATTGCGCATGGTGCCTCTACAGTTGAGGAAGCGAAGTCGCTACAGTTACAACTCGCAAACCTACTCAATCGTGGCGGTTTCCAGCTGAGAAAATGGGCTAGTAATGATCCAATTGCTCTCGATCATGTTCCAGAACAGCATCGTGAATCTCCGTTGAATTTCTCAAGTGACGATCCTTCTATTAAGATTCTTGGATTACGGTGGGATCCTCGGTCTGATACTTTCACCTATTATGTACAAGAATTTGATTCTCAAGTTACCAAGCGCACTGTTCTTTCTTATATCGCTCGAATCTTTGATCCGATGGGGTGGTTATCTCCAATTGTATTTTGGGCTAAGCATTTTCTGCAACAGATATGGATCTCTAAAGTGGGCTATGATGATATCTTGCCGCCTTCCCTATCGGAGGCTTGGGGAAGGTTTTCTTCTCAAATGCGGTGTCTACGCGCACTTAAAATTCCTCGATACATTCTCCAAAGTTTGCCACGTTTGCTCTTGGTGGGATTCTCGGACGCTTCCTCTAAAGGATACTCCGCTTGCATCTATTTACATGCGTATGATTCCAGTGGCACTTGTAGCAATTATCTTTTGAAGGCCAAGAACAAAGTGGCACCCCTCAAGACATTGACTATTCCTCGATTGGAACTCTGTGGAGCGTTGTTATTATCTAGACTACTTCGTGATGTGATTAAATCTCTTAAAGCCGTAAGATTTGAAAATGTTCATCTGTATACCGATTCTCAGATTGTCCTTGCATGGCTCCACACCTCTCCTCATCTTCTCAAAACCTACGTGGCCAATCGTGTAGTTCGCATATTAGAGCATACATCTCTTCACCAATGGGCACACACAGTGTCGAATCAAAATTCAGCCGACTTTGCGTCTCGAGGATTATTTCCCGAAGAGATCATGGATTGTCATTCCTGGTGGAATGGACCAGATTTTATGCAGAATCCGCCGTCCAAGTGGCCCGTAAGAGGCGATAATTATGTCGCACCCGAAGAGCTCCCTGAGCGTAAAAACGATCCTATAGTTTTGCGCATCCAAGCCGACCCAGAAAATCCTCTGTATGAAGTTGTGTCACGATTTTCTTCATTGAGTAGACTACAACGCGCTTTCGCATTTATTCGCCGATGGCTACTCCGAATAAGATGTCCCGAGATGAAGGGTCCACTCTCAAGCAAAGAGATGCGATACTCGACCTTATTGCTTGTGCGTCTCACACAGCAAAACCATTTTCCTCTGCTCATAGAAGAGTTGCGTTCCAAAGGTCACACCACAACTCCATTAAAGAAGCTGTTCCCATTCTTGGATGCAATGGGTATAGTTAGGGTGGGCGGACGGCTACGACACTCAGCCCTTCCCCTAGATGCGAAACACCCTCTGCTTTTACCTCAGAAAGCTCATCTCTCGGCGTTAATTTGCGACTACTATCATCTGTACGCTTGCCACGCTGGACCTAGAAGCGTGCAGACGCTTATACAGCAGAAGTTCTGGATAATATCGATTCGATCCCTCCTACGGCAGCGCATTTTTCGCTGCATTCGCTGTTTTAAGTTTAAATCGAAACCTGTATTTCCCTTGATGGCTGATCTACCGCCAGCTCGAGTTCAACCTAGCAAACCGTTTTCCTCTGTTGGCATTGACTTTGCCGGACCCTTCACGGTCAGGGAAAGTCGTCGACGTAAGGCCCACACATACAAAGGGTATCTCTGTTTATTTATATGTATGTCTACGAAAGCGGTCCATTTAGAAATGGTCTCGGAACTCTCCACGAAAGCCTTCTTAGCCTCGCTCAACAGATTCACCGCACGCCGTGGTCTACCCTCTGACATATACTCTGACTGCGGACGTAACTTTCTCGGCGCCGCTCGCCACCTGAGGGAGGTGAGTCAGTTTCTACGTTCGCACTCCTCTGAGATAACGAGTTCCTTAACTTCTTTGGAGATAAAATGGCATTTTAACCCTCCAGCCGCCCCCAATTTTGGCGGCCTATGGGAGGCTGCGATCAAATCCGCAAAGAGTCTCTTGTATCGATCAATCGGCACCTCTCTCTTAACTTTCGAAGAGTACAGCACGCTATTTTGTAAGATTGAGGCGGTATTGAACAGCCGTCCCTTATGTACCGTCACCTCTAACCCAGAAGACGCTGTAGATTACCTAAGCCCTGGACATTTCTTAGTCGGCAGACCTTTATTGCAACCTCCTGAAGCTCCCTTGGAGGACAACTTGAATTGGACCTGTCGGTGGCAACTACTCTCCCAGCTGTATCAGCGGTTCTGGAAGAGGTGGTCTACGGAGTATCTCCATACTCAACTCCAACGTCAGAAGTGGAATAAGGATCAACCAAACATTCAACCCGGCGCCATTGTCGCATTGTATGGCGCACAAACTACCCCCCTTTCATGGCCGTTAGGACGCGTACAAGAGGTACATCCCGGAACCGATGGAGTCGTCCGTGTGGCCACCGTGAAAACCGCTACCGGTTTATATACGCGTCCGGTAAACAAGCTCGTGATTCTCCCAACCCAATTCTCAATGGAGAATTGAGTGAACTCTCATAATGTACATAAGGAACTCTCTTTAATTTTCGTTTGATTTTTCGTTAAATTTTGTTAAAATTTGGTGGGCGGTTATGTTCGAACATAATTGCTCCATTCCGGCGCACGCGCGAGTGAGCGGAAGTAGTACGCTACTGAACGTAAAAAGTGCATGAGTGAACGGGTTTTGCTCTCGCGTGTTCCTCGTTGTGCTTCTCAAAATCAGGCTACCAAGAACCAGGGGCCTCTGTCACCGCCAGCAGGATACTCCAGGTTAGTGGTGCTTCTCAGTTATTCTCGGTCCTTCGCGCAAAGTTAAGTCACGGCACCCCGCGTGCACATTCTACAATAGGAGTCTCTCCATTACAAAAATTATAAAATCTTGAACTTACTAGCACGAATTAGTACTCTAAAATCGTTAAAAGTAGGACATTGTTGAATGTCTCTATAATAGATTTCTAGTCCTTGTCCAGTGAAGAATCTAATACCCAAAGTAATAAAATCATCAATAGCGATGTCCTAAATGAAAACATAAACAATAATATAAATATAAATTTTCATCAATGGTTGTTGATACCTCCCTGATTTTCGCATAGCAGAGTATATTTTTCATTATTAGAAACATCTTTTGTTCTGTGGCATGTACCGTTAGCGGAATTCCATAGACCATATGGGCAGAAGGAAGTCCTTTGCGAAGTATCGTTCTGTCCAGAATCTCGTCTAGTCTGGAAAAAGTACATGGAATAAAGTAGGTAATTAAGGTAAACTTACATAATAAGCATATCGTATAATCCACTTTCAATATCATTAAACATTTTCAATTCATCTTGGGGCACTTTACCCAAACATTACAAGCACCAAACAGTCGTTTAAAAATGTTCCGATCTTCCGGGCCCGCTTGTAAAATGTGTTGCACTGATCTTGCCAATATCTACAATCAATAGTTTGTTAAAAAATACAGATAAAATTTTGCTTTTGTCGCTATATTACCCCTTCGCCTGTGATCTGCATTTCGTCTGTGTTTTACTTTTTAACCGGTCCAGGTGCGTATCCATAGAAAATCTGACTTTTATAAAAATTTATATTTTGCTTGTATACCTAATTCTGATTGTTTTTCTTTATTATACGTACGAAGATACGAAACATACACAAATAACTGCCTTAATTGTCTTTCGTGTCTACTTATAGAAATCCTTGACAAATAAATCTAATACGGGTCGTTATAAACAAGTAATAGCCCATTTATCATTCTCCAATTACGTCAGCAAAAATGAAGAAAGCGTCAGCGACTATAGTTCTGATTTTGCTGTGTAGCTGCTATTCCATGAAATTATGTCAACTTCGTATTATATATATTATATAGATTCCATAGAGTATCCCTCCTTGTTATCAGCGTACCTGACACTAAGACACAAAAGTCGCGACGATCTAACATTGTTAATGAGCAAAAGAAGTCGATCCGTTTTCTGGAACTGTACAAGAAATACGCCAGACTGAGGCCTGAAAATACGCCGCACAAAGGGTTATTTATAAATTACAGAGGGAATAAGTGCATCAAACAACCCATTGGAAAAATAATCTTCTCAAAGTTTTGTCGAATTTTTGAAACTACCAGATTTTACGCTGCATTGTTTTTGTCGGTGCTCTGCGACATTTTTAGTGAAAGCTGGTGATAATAAACGTTTATAAAAATGTTTCGTTGTGTTTATTCTTCTTTGATAACAATTAACAAGAAGTTAATTGGTATGAGAAGAATATTGCATATGTGAATAAAATATGTGCGCAATAATACAACCATTGTGACTGTTGACAGCTGGAGATTTTTCCAGCCGTATTCTTTTTTTTTTCTAATCAACACAAAATTCATAATTAGCGGAACACACTTGACGAAAGACGAAAATCTAAAGAAAAAAACTATTTTATGATAGACATCTTTGTATACCTACCTACATCCTTCATCTGTCTTCAGATATTGTGAAGATTTGTATTGTGTTTATTAATTAATTAATTTATCTATATAGGGAAAATAATTGTTATATCATGTAATGTTTCTGTTTAACTTCGGTTTCTCTCTCAACCGTCAAAAGCACTAATAAATTTTCCATAAAATTGTGGCAAATTTCCGGCGATTACTTTTTTTTATAATTAAAAAATTGGTCTAAAGAGTTTAGATAGTACTTCCCTCGCTGTCGGAAATTTGACGACTGCATGCCTATTGTGTTTTTTTTTCTCATTACATTTTTGTAGTGGGAATTTAAAAAAAAATTGCGATGACGTCATCAACATTTTTGCAAGGACACGTATATCAGTTGGGATAGATGTAGTGTAATACTAAGAATAAAATTATTATATTCTCAAATTTTCAGGAAAATGAATTGGGTCGTTTTGAATATTGATTTGTAATAATCAATAAAATAACGAAACAATTTACTCACGTATACGTATCAGAGGCAACTGAAAATCGTGTATGTATAAACATTCTTAATTTAAGATGACAGGCGTAACAGCATACGTGAGAGTCAAACAGAGAAACTGTAAACAAAACGACCATCGGTTTTATTGCTTCGACTTCCGCTTATTATATAAAACATTGGGTTTTATTTTAATTCTTGACGGTGAAATTCACAATTGGTTGATTATAAACATGTCTATTTCACATTCGCGGAACCAAGTGAACGCATAAAACAAATGCAGGTCTGTAATGTTAAAGTCGATGTAAATAAGCGTGCTACCCTTATGTTTCAACCGAGTTTTTCCTTTAACAAATTTTGTGTCTACCAAATTGGGTTGGTTGGGGTGTAATACTAATAATAAGTGTTGCCTTTAATTTAATCAATAAAATAAATTGACTTCATTAATTTTTTTGAACCACCTCTTAAGAAAATCTAAAAAATATGAATGGAATGATAAATCACAAGTACAAACTCATCATATTTTTTGCATTTTAGATAGGATTTATTCAGCAAAATTTAAGGGTGACGTCATCATTTTTTTTAGGAGGGATGAACAAATACATTTTAAACAAAAGTTTACCATGCTTATAATAACTTTAAAATATTCCCAAGATTTCAAAGCATTCGGTTTTCTAATTCCTGATTAAATCGATAAAATAAATTCACGCCTTCATTAATTTTTTTGAGTCACCCTGCATATGCAAATCCAAAAATATGATTGGAATGATAAATCACAAGTACAGACTCATCATATTTTGTACATTTTAGATATGATTTATTCGGCAAATTTTCGAGCTGACGTCATCAAGTTTTTGGAGGGGATAAGCAAATATATTTTGACTAAACATTTATTATGCTCTTTATAACCTTAAAACATCTGCAAGATGTCAGAGCATTCCGTTTTGTAGTTCCCGATTAAATCAATAAAATATATTTACGCATTCATTAATTTTTTTGAGTCACTCTGTATATGCAAATCCAAAAAATATGAATGGAGTGATAAATGACAAGTACAGGCTCATCATATTTTGTACATTTTAGATATGATTTATTCGGTAAACTTTCGAGCTGACGTCATCAAGTTTTTGGAGGGGATAAGCAAATATATTTTGACTAAACATTTATTATGCTCTTTATAACCTTAAAACATCTGCAAGATGTCAGAGCATTCCGTTTTGTAGTTCCCGATTAAATCAATAAAATATATTTACGCATTCATTAATTTTTTTGAGTCACTCTGTATATGCAAATCCAAAAAATATGAATGGAGCGATAAATGACAAGTACAGGCTCATCATATTTTGTACATTTTAGATATGATTTATTCGGCAAACTTTCGAGCTGACGTCATCAAGTTTTTGGAGGGGATAAGCAAATATTTTTTGACTAAAGATTTATTATGCTCTTTATAGCCTTAAAACGTCTGCAACATTTCAAAGCATTCTGGTTAGCAGATTAAAAATTAAATTTTAAAATGTTGTTTTATAATTTTGATTTTTTTTCCAAAAATCTGGACGTTTCGGGTGAAAAGTCGATTCAGAGTTGTAAACTACATGTGCAGGACTATGTTATTTTATACAATTGAAAACCCATTTACTATGTACAATTTTGAAGTGACGTCATCGCATTAGTGGTGGGGATGATTAGACAAATTTTGGTTAGCGTTTTACCATCTACATGATATTCTTAATATAAGTACAAAATTTCACAACAATCGGTCGAGTACTTTCGGAGATTATCTGTCTAATAAAAATCCGGGACAACAGACGGACAGACGGACGGACAGACGGACGGACAGACGGACAGACGGACGGACAGACGGACAGACGGACAGACAGACGGAAATGGGAGACCTATTTCTTCGTCTTCTAGGGGTCATGAAAGATCGAGAAAACGTAAAAGTAGAGAGTCGGCCGACGGACTCGATTACAATACTTCCTTTGCTTACGCTCGGGAAGTAAAAATTTGAGAAGATGTACAAAAAGTTTTAGCATGTAAAGTATTTGCTATTTGACTGCCAATTTTATTTTCTCTTTCTGTACTGCATTAAATATATGTAATTCAATTGCGAAACCAATTCTTGGCAATAATATCTTATCTGCTACGACGCAAATGGAAACAACTAGATAAATATGAATTACTACTTAAATAAGAAAAAATGTTGTGATTTGATTGTAAAATTTTCAAGCAAGACGTCAATCAACACTTCATGTTTATCGATATCTTAAATCTAGCTTTTAAAATGTTTACTTGTAGTAACTAACCAAAAAGCAATTAATTTAAAATGTAAATTATGTACAAACTTTTTGCACTTTTTGCAATTAGCATGTGGGTGACGTGTTTATTGATCTATTACGACGCTTAAACAAAGAACTAACAGAGACTCACTCTCATTTTAAGCATGCAAGTACATTAAGCTATGCTTCATGGTGTTTCGTCCACAAACATCTGAAGTTGGTACACCATAGTTATTAGTAACAACAAAAATTAATTGTTTTTTGTTTTAAATTAATCTTATGGCTATTCACCCCGCCATAAACTACGTGTACATATTATTACTTGATCTCTTGTTTGCTTTATTTTATTTTAATTTATTGCTAGTTGTTTTAATAAATCTAAATCTACGTACGAAACATATTTATACATTATAAGCTATGAACCGTGGAGAAAATATTAAATTAGCCATTTATCAGATTTTTTTTTTTTTCATAATTTGGAAAGTCTTTGCTCTTGATAACACCAACTTATCAGATATGCTAACCCCACCTTTAGAACATAGTATATAAGGAACAACATTAAAAAGTTGGTGATAATTGTAATACGGATGATTTAAAAGTTTACCGTAATAAAGGAATACTTTAATTGTAAACATATTTTATAAAAGTTTTTTGTGATTATAAATTTCAACAATAAGTGAACTTCCTGACGGGTAAGTTGAAAATTACAGTTAGAAATTACCATGTACGCGTATTTTTTATTTTTTATAATAATCATTAAAGAATTTATTATAACAATATGTACAGTACAACACTTCAGACCTAAAACGTACATTTCTACCTCGGGTAGATCTCCAAATTTGTGTTCTAACGGTACTTCTTATAAATAAAGAGCGAATTTGAGACTAAAAAAGCCAAAATAAGCGATAACAATTGTGGATTTAGACACGAAAATGGCAAAATAGGCAAGTTTTATGAAAAACAAAATTTTACACAACGTCTGATCTATAATTTGGAAATTTGGTGTGGATGTATAGTTAAACATGACGACTTGATAAAAATATTTTTCATTTTTTTATCGCTTTCGGTTTCACACACAAGACCGCCTAATTTTTTTTTGTTTTAATGGAATACCCTGATTTTTTTGACATTTTCTGATGCAGAATAAAAAACTAATTTCAGAAATTATCGACATGCTTATTTATACTGATTCAAAAAAATAGAAAAAAAATCAAACTCGCCACGTTCAACTTCATATATATCCAAAGCAAATTTAAGAAAAAGAACTTTTAAAATAACTAAGCTATTCGATCGTTCCGGGACTTTACACTAACCCTGTATATATTTTATTATTTCACATTATCAGCGATTCTAATCCTAAATAGTTAAAATTTGCATAACAAATTAGATGTTTTTAAAAATTTTCTGCAGAAAGATTTTTCCTTTTGTCTGCTAAGACATTTTTTTTTGTCTAGAGAAAGATCTCTGAACATCACAATGAATTGTGCAAACATTAAGAATTTACACTTTAATTTTCGCCCAGGCTATACAGAACAATTCGCCGTTTTTTAAATGAGAAACGTCTTTGTTTTCCGTTCGTTCCCTCAACTTGTCCTTTAAAGACGATTTGACTTATTATTATTATTGTAATTCACATTGCGTTATTATAACTTGTCTTTAAGACTAGGCGAAGCAAACATTCCTCTAAGGGAGGCTTAGCATCCCTTCGCATCCCTTCAGCTACGGCCTTCTCTAGAGGTCGTGAAACGCCGAGAAAATTTGAAAGTGCTAAATCGCCTGGTGAACTCAATTACTATATTACTTAGCTTACGCTCAAAATTTCTGTAGTGTACTTAATATAAATAAGTGCGAAACCAATTCTTAGAAAAAAGATTATATCTTAGGTATTACGACGCAAATGGAAACAAGTAAATAAATATGAATTACAACTTAAATAAGATAAAATGTCGTGATTTGATTGCAAAATTTTCAACCAAGGCGTCAATAAACACTTCATGTTTATCGTTATCTTAAATCTAGCTTTTAAAATATTTACTTGTAGTATCCACCCAAAAATGAAAATAGTTTAGGAATATTGTTTTCTGCTGTAAATTAATCTCATAGTCATTTAGCCCGCCTTAAAATATTTGCTCTTTAGCAATTTGTTAATATGGGAGTGAAACTTTCACTTATACGGTTAGAATTAAATAGCATATTTTGCAGTGATCACTTTATTTTTGGTTTGCTCTTTTTTATTTTACTTCATTACTACTTGCGCTAATGAATCTAAATTTACGTATGAAAAACGGAGATCTAATATTCAAACACTAGTGTTCGGCTCGAAGACCAATGTTCCGGCTCGAGGGACCAATGTTCCGGCTCGAGGGACCAATGTTCCGGCTCGAGGGACCAATGTTCCGGCTCGAGGGACCAATGTTTCGGCTCGAAGACCAATGTTCCGGCTTGAATGCCAATGTTCGTACAATCCGAATCGTAGTACCAACGTTTTTTGTAATCCGGTTGATACGACCATGTATGGTCTTCCGAATTGTACCTTGATATTGCTCGAAGGACCTTTGTTTGCTATAATTGAAATAATGGACAGCGTTCGGTTTTGATGTTTAATGTAGGACGGTTACAGAAGTACTAAAATTACAGAGCTATTTACAAAAACAGGTAAAGATACCCAAAAGGGTCAGTGACCGCTTCCGGAAATGCAACAACTAGAATTTATGAAATTAGCCATTTATCAGGTTTTGGATTTTCCATAACTTGAAGATCTTGCTTTTGATAACACTAACTTATCAGATATGCTAACCCCACCTTTAGAATATAATATTTAAGGAACGCCCTTAAAAAAATTTAATACAAACTGTGTTTAGACTCATCTTATCATTATAAAACTTATAAGCACTAAAAAAAAAAACTCAAATTTAATATTTATTTTTCTGGATCTTCAAATGCAAATGACCCTAAATATGGTTTCCAATTTACGAAATCCATATAAAAAGTATAGAATCCGTCCAACGCAAGTTCCTGAAATTTTTGTCATATCGTTCATCTGGGGTAAATCCTGAGAGTAATCTATTTCTACTTTATTTTAGTGAATATTTTTTTATATATATCTATATATTTTTTTCCTTTTCTTTGTATTTACTGCACTGCTTCATAATCATTGTTAGTTTTTTCCCTGGGTGCATTGTTACCTGTTGGAAATAAAGTATTACACTGGTCTACAGTGGTTTTGTTGCCCTAGATATAAGATTGATTTTGGATCTATGTATGCTCATAATTCATGAAAGTATCAATGATTTTGTAAAGTTTGCTCTCGTTTTCTTTTAAATCTTTATTTTCATTTTATATTACAAAAATCGGAAAACAAAAAACAAAATAACAGATATATTTATAATATCGATTATATTTTGAAAAATTAGGATACATCGAAGTAAATAAAGAAGAAAATTTCGAAAACATGTTATATTTCCATAAAACGCCTTTTATGAGCTTTCCTCTTATAATTTTTCAGGGGACAATCTCTTTTAAAAGACCAGCAGTAATCTGCCATCATATGACAATCCCATCGACCCTGATATCTTTCCTCCATTACTTTTAGATCCTGATGGAACCGCTCTCCCTGTTCCTCACTATAATTTCCTAAATTATCCGGAAATTTATCCAAATGATTGCAGAGATAGTGTAATTTGATACTCATATTTGCTCCTAGAGTCTCAAAGTTTGTCAGCATATTTTGTACAATTTCTTCATAATTTAGTGCTTTATGGTTACCTAGGAAATTTTCGACTACCAATACAAAACTTTCCCAAGCTTTACTTTCCGGAACAATCATAACTTTAATAAAATCTGTGTCTTTCATCATTTGCCGTATTTGAGGACCATCAAATATTCCACCTTTCAACTTTTCCATACTAAGCTTCGGAAATTTTCTACAAATGTAATTAAAACAATCTCCTTCCTTGTCCAAAGCTTTTACAAATTGCTTTATCATTTCTAACTTAATATGTAATGGTGGAAGTATAATTTTGTCTCTGCTCACTAACGGCTCCCTTATTTGTTTTTTTGTTATATAAATACCACAAATATAACAAAATAAGTCACTACTATATTTACACTTTCTCCGTGACGAACTCACGTTTTAAAAAATAAGACAAATTTATTAGAATGGACATTCAGCGATTGAAACAAAATATTAATAAATAACAACTTATCCAGATTCACGTGTAAAGTACTTCAATATTATCAAATAACTGAGTTCTCAGCTGTTCTGCAGAGCAAGGAGTCTGAGAGTGGGGATCACGTGATATTTGTATGCGTGAAAAAGTTGCGCAGAAACATAATCATGACTGGGAAAATAAATTTTATTACTAACAAGCCGATAATTGTTCGAAATATATGATATGTAAAAATCATAAAAAAAAAGCACATTCAATACTTTTATGGATATATTCGTAATTTAGACACTTGAAAACATAAAAATTTACAAAGATATCCAGGGCAACATAATTTTTTTTTTTTTTTGTAGAGCTGTGTTATTATTATTATTTTTAGTTGATAAAGATCTACATCATTCTTCTCTGTGCATAAATATTAATAAGATTTTCATTCGCTCTTTTCAAGCTTTTCAAATTGTGTACAGTTCTCAAAAATATAAATATTACTAGGGCCACTAAATCCAAAATTTGCTTCTAAGAGATTCACTTTTTGTTTACAATAATCCGCATATGTATCGTTAAAAATATGAACACATTATTAAATCCCTACATCGTTTCCACACTTAAGTCAAATTTACTTTTACAAATTTTGGAGATTATAGAAATTATTCTATTTTCAAAAATATTAAAAAAGTCATGTGAAAGTGGTTTAGAATTTTATGAGCTTACCTTAGAAATCGAGTTAATTTTCAATAAAGACATAAAGTACTTCAGTCTCAAAGCAAAACTATCGTCGGCATTCTGATTTTAATTTTTAAACAACCAAAAAATTTATTTATTTATTTACTTTACTGTACAGATTCTATGATCACGATTCCCACTTTTGACAACATGAGTCATTTTTATCTAGTTTTTTACGTAGTATAATTCATTTTTAGCTTTATTGTCGAAAAATGACACATATTAGTTTCTATGTTTTCTGACCGTCCCTAGTTTACTTGACTGATTGATATTTTTCTCAGCATACACATTCAAATTTGTGGCCATGGACTCAAGTTCCGACGAAGAAATCAGAACATTAAAAGAGGAATTAGAACGTAAGATAGAACAAAAGAGACGAAGAAAACAAGAAAAGTTGCTACGCACACCGCAACCCGAGGAGAATACTACTTCTGCGTTAAAGGTATTATAAATTTGGATCGATCAAAACTGTCCTCAAATTCATTTGGTTATTAATTTCAATTTTCAATTTACTTATTACATTTTTACAAAGACAAGTACTTGAACTTCAATGTTCAACGTAGGCAACATAGTATAGAACTGTATTGTATTGTAGTTTAAAAATTAATTAAAACTATACAATTTTACCAGAGAAGGTAAAAAACGTATTAAGAAAAATGTAAAATTTTTCATTTTTTGTGCACCATGTGTTCAGATCAATTTTTTTAACAGATAATGTCATCTTCTCGAAAATTTCATGTTTCTTATTCACGGTCCATTATTTCAGCTCTAAGACAAATGATGAAACTTTTGAAACTTTAGTTTCAAAATTATTCTAGTTAATTGTTAAAATTAGCTAAAATAATTTTAACAATGTTTTGGCAGAAACGCGATAATAACTTTGTTAATTAAACTATTTTTAGGGCACAGATCCAACAGGAATAGAAGACACTCCAAACAAGCAAGCTGCTCTATCTGAAGACAGTCATCAAATTAAGGGAAATACCCAAGAAAACACAGTTCCAGGGAACCCGGCGTTACAAGCAACAGATGGCGAAAGAAATAAAACTTCGTCGGATAAGGTAAATTTATTTATGATGAAATATACGATTTGGCCGTTGTTTTGTACCAGAAAAAATAACTCAAACAAGACCTGTCTGCATTTATATCTGCAAAAGCATAAAAAAAAACTTAGAACTATATATTTCGAAGTCCAATTTTTAAATGATTTACAACTACATATTTCCGATTTATATTCACATTGTTGATTTCTTGATTTCAATTCCAGATTTTTGAAAAACGAGCAGGAACCACCGACAAGGGAAAAAAATACGAAGATTTGGTTACCGCTAAAGTCGCACTACAATTGGTAAGCGACAGTAAAATAAAAGATTTCTACATTTCTTCGAACGATAAAAATTTTGGTGATTTTGATGACGTGGTTATTGAAATTGAGACAGATAGCGGAATGAAAACAACAGCACTGCAGTTAAAACACAGTAATGAAAAAAAACAATTATATATAAAGCAACTGGCAGGCAAAAAGGGAGACTTTAGTTTAATAAAATATTTCAAATCTGCTCACGAGGTTCAAGGCGAAGTGCAAGAATTTATATTATTCACCACAAACAGCTTTACAACTTCAAAGGAAACAAAATTTAAACTAGAAGGTGAACAGTTTTACGTGAAGATCATTAAAAAGACAGTTTCAGGAGACGATTTCGACGTTTTAAGAATTTCTGAAAATATAAATTATTATCATACATTTCACATAGTAGAGGACGAATGGACTAAACTAAATCCTGAAAAAATTCAGCAGTACCAAACATTCTTCGAGCGCTTTCGTCTTTACACAAACCAAGAACGTTTTGATGCTCTTACAAAATCAACAATGGATAAATTTATTGAGATGTTTTGCTCTAACGAAGAAACTTTCAAGAAGTACGTCGACGTCATATCAGAATGGAGTATGCGAGATGGAAAAAAAGAAAAGCTAAGCAAAAGGATGATGCAACGTGTCATCGCACTTCGTTTGCTTTCTTCTCAGATCGAACCGTTTGTTTTTGGTTCAGTCACAGACGAAATGAAAATACTTCGGGAGGCTATTTGTCTGTTCGACATTACGTTGTTGGAAAAAAAAGGCAGCAACGGAGTTAAAAAATTGTGGGGCGACTTGAACAAAAACCTTGACCTTAAGGAACTAAACAAATTTCGATCACTTTATTCTCTTTCTTCTAATTACATAAGTAGTGTCGAAAATCTGGATGCAAATTTGTTGACACAGTTGCAATGGCTGATAGAGAAATGTCCGCTCATTGTGAAAGAACACGTCAATATGGAGAAAGCTATTAACCTCTGTCCAGATGCAAAATTTATTATTCTTGGCGAGGGTAAATATGAAGAATGGATGAAAAAACACTCTGTGTTTCAAAACTTGTTCAACTTGAAACCAGAAGTTGAACTGTATGAAAAAGTATTGCGAAAGTTCACCATTTCTATACAAGGCAAAAAACCACGTAATTTGGTGACTGCTTTCGACAAAAATCAAGAAATTTTCAAGCATGTTACCGTGGAAAAACTTTTAGAGATGGCAAATGGTCCATGCCATATAGATGGACAAAAGGAAGTTTTTCCCAATCTTTATATCGACAGATATTTGTCAGTCAATATTATAGACATTAAATATTTAGAACATGTTAATCGAAACACTGTTATCATTTTAAATTGTGAAGGTAATTCTCAGCAATTGAAAATATCTAAAGAGTATACTCTAACAGACATCGAGGGTTTTTTAAGTAATACAGACCCCAAAATTTTTGATAAACCAATTTTAATAAGGAGTGAAAAAAATTGCAGTGATTCTGATTTTCAAATAATATGTTCCAAAACACCAGAATCCACAACTGTGCACTATTTTAAATTTCTCAACGATCAAAATTTAGAATGGATTCGAAGCAAAGGCTCTGTTGATGAATTGCGAAATTATAAATTACCTAGTCGATCTAAAAACGAAAACGAAATTTGGTCTTCCGAATTCAGCAACAACATACATCTAATAACAGGTGACCCAGGAATGGGCAAAACGGAGTTAACGAAGAGTCTAAAAAACAACTGTTGTGCGAGATATTGGACCGTGATTCTGAGTGCTCAAGATGTTATGTCTTTCTTTAAAAAGTCAACAAAGTCTGAAAAATCAGCAAAATTACAATTCGAAACATTTATTTTAAACGAAAAATATCGAGATCTCGCTGGGTTGGATAGAGAATTCTTTACAATGTGTTTAAAGCAACGAAATGTGGTTTATGTATGGGACGCTCTTGATGAAATATTTACTCAGTATTTAAATGGTACTTTAAATCTCATTCTTATGTTATCGCAGAAAGGTTTCATTCAGTGGGTTACTGCAAGGCAACATTTGAGATCTTCTCTTGAAGAAAAATTTAGTACTCTGTCAGTGGGTATCAATCAGCTCACCGAAGTCGAGCAAGAGGACTACATTAACAAACGTCTTAACAATTTTATTAAGCCTGTAGATATGAAACCAGTCATCGACAAAATTAAATCGACGTTTGCATTTACAAAACATATAGATATATTGGGAATCCCTCTTCAAATTTTTATGCTTACAGATGTTTTACTACAAAATAAGGAAAAATATTTAGAGTTATTAGACACTAAATTTCTCCTGACTGACATGTATCGTTACTTTATTGAAGGAAAATTTAAGTTTTTCTACGGAGGTAAAGTGCCCGTAAACAGTGATTTTTGGGAAAAAGAAGTAACGAAGAAAAAGGAAGAGACATTAAAACAGTATGAAAAGATGGCGCTTGGAGTAATATTTCCTGAAGACATCTTGAAACTATTAAATATAGATTATTCGCAAGATATAGATTCTGTTACTGAAGATTTTGCAACTGTCGGTTTCGTGACTGGACTACAAAACGGCATTCCGCACTTTGCACATGCTTCCTTTGCCGAATATTTTGTTGCCTTATATTTTTCTAGAAATTTTGAAATGATACACAGGGACATATTTTTTGATGCGAAGTATAATAACGTACGTTTCTTCTTCGACATGTTAACTGGCAAAAATTCACCGGTCCACATAGCGATTTTATACAGAAATTTTGATGAAGTGGAGAACTTTGACGACGAAATAATAAAACGTAAAGATGAGTGTGGAAGAAGTGCCTTACATCTCATCTGTTCTTGGGGACAAAGACATGGGCGTTTAAAAGTACAACTAGAAAACGAGAGTTATGTTATCAAGACAAATCGGGAGATTATGCGTAGTTCGTTAGAAACGAAACAATATTTTAAAGCGTTATGGTTTTTGTTAGACAAATGTGAAATATTAGAACAAGATTCTTTACATAACATCACACCTTTAACATGGGCACAAGAAAGTGAAAGTTTGGGAGCGGAACTGGAATTATTACAATCACGCAGAATACAACTGAAAGATTCGTATAGTCGAACCGACAAAATTAATATTTTATTTTTTGTGGCTTTGTACGGATACGCAGAAGCGTTTAAAATATTATTTTCATCTTCGAGTATTTCTAATAATGAAGTAAATTTTAGTGTTGAATTCGATGGTAGTACGCCTCTTATAATAGCTTCTCGAGAGCGGCACGAAACAGTTATAGAGTGTTTAGTGAATTGCGGAGCCGATATCAATGGGGCTGATAAAAATGGTCAGACACCGCTTTACGCAGCTTCCTCTCGAGGTCACGAAAAAATTGTCGAATGCCTGGTGAAATGCGGAGCCGAAATCCGCGCTGATGAAATTGGTTGGACACCGCTTCACGCAGCTTCCTCTCCAGGTTACGAAAAAATTGTCGAATGCCTGGTGAAATGCGGAGCCGAAATCAATCGGGCTGATAAATATGATCGGACACCGCTTCACGCAGCTTCCTCTGAAGGTCACGAAAAAATTGTCGAATGCCTGGTGAAATGCGGAGCCGAAATCAATCGCGCTGATGAAATTGGTTGGACACCGCTTCACGCAGCTTCCTCTCGAGGTCACGAAAAAATTGTCAAATGCCTGGTGAAATGCGGAGCCGAAATCAATCGCGCTGATGAAATTGGTTGGACACCGCTTCACGTAGCTTCCTCTCGAGGTCACGAAAAAATTGTCAAATGCCTGGTGAAATGCGGAGCCGAAATCAATCGCGCTGATGAAATTGGTTGGACACCGCTTCACGCAGCTTCCTCTTCAGGTTACGAAAAAATTGTCGAATGCCTGGTGAAATGCGGAGCCGAAATCAATCGGGCTGATAAATATGATCGGACACCGCTTTACGCAGCTTCCTCTGAAGGTTACGAAAAAATTGTCGAATGCCTGGTGAAATGCGGAGCCGAAATCAATCGGGCTGATGAAGATGGTCGGACACCGCTTTACGGAGCTTCCTCTGGAGGTCACGAAAAAATTGTCGAATGCCTGGTGAAATACGAAGCCGAAATCAATCGCACTGATAAATATGGTTGGACACCGCTTCACGAAGCTTCCTCTTTAGGTCACGAAAAAATAGTCGAATGCCTGGTGAAATGCGGAGCCGAAATCAATAGCCCTAATAGATATGGTCGGACACCGCTTTCCTCAGCTTCCTCTCAAGGTCACAGAAAAATTGTGGAATTCTTAGTAAAATGTGGAGCAAAACCTTTCGTTTAATAAAATGAATAATGATGGTTGAACTTGAATAGTCACCAAAAATCTGTCGAATGATTAGTTCAACGATGATCCAAAACTCCTGTAGGCCGGGCCAGACTTTCAATATTTTATTACCATCTGCCGCCTCACTTTTTTATTGTTATTTTGTTGATCATATCAGGAATTGTAATTTTGCTCTATCTATTAAAAACAATGTTACCTTAACCTTTGAGAGATATTATTAAATACTTTAATTATAGGATTTATATTAAAAAAAATAGAACTAAAAAAAACCGAATTTGTTCGACCGTATTTCAGGAGCGACAAATGTCCTGTCTGATACCTTGGACCAATTTTACCTAGTTTGATTGAAATTAAAATTTGTTTCTACATTATTTTTTCGTAATACAGTGTTTTTCTTTATTTGTAGAATATGTTTCACTATTTGACACATTTTTCCCGTATTTGCCTTTTTGATATCATATGCCCAAAGTAATTCCGTTTGTCAAAATTCTTTCAATTTATCGCAGGACCCAAGCATAAGTAATTTATTTTAACAAATATGTCAATCTATAATCATGAAATACCTATAACAAATTATTTAAGTTCAAAATTTCATTTCTGTTGAAGCAATCCCCACAAATTATTGCGTCAAAAGCATTGTGTACTTGGATATTGCATATTTAATTCGTCTTCGTTTCTAGGATGACTTCTTTTAATAATCACTTTCCACTGATTAAACAGTTTCCCAATTAGGTTTGATCTGTAGATTTCAAAGGGGGCTGCACATGTCATTACCACTCTTCGACCAAGTTTTGAGCAACTGGGTTTGTATCAATTGTTGAATTTATTCAGTTCTGTGAAATCTTACATTGTTCATTAAAATATGTCCGTGCGGCTCTAATACTATCTTCTTGTAGTGATAAGATTTTAAAAAATCGTAATCGACCAATTACGACCTGTCAGCTGACCTTTAACTTTCTTTGCGCTACAGTTACTTGGTGATCTTCCGTAAGAGTTAAGCACAGTCTTTATTAACACAATTGCATATTTGTTCTTTCTGTTGTTCAGTTAACTTTTTCGGGCGCTGCCCAGCACTTCTTTCTTCACTTGATTAGTCGAGTAAAATTTTCTAACAGTGTTTAGTAGGATATTAAAGTGCTGTCCACATTGGCTGAAGTCGACGAAATTGTTTTACCAAAAAAAAGAAACTGTTTTGACACAAGGTAAAATAATCTGAGAAACATAGCGCACCATTTAATAACAGTAGGAAATAGATTTGAGAATTAGTGGAACACAATTAACGAAAGACGAGAATCAAAAGAAGTACACTATTTTATGATGTATATCTTTGTATACATACCTACCTCTATCCTTCATCTGTCTTCAGATATCCTGAAGTTTTGTATTGTGTTTATTAATTTCTTTATTTATCTAGTCTTATATTTAAACATATTTCTGAGATTCACACAATTTTTAAATCTATGGAAAATATAACCACAAGCCAAATAAGTCACTTTCTTTTAAGGTCACATATTTCACTTGAATAAACTAATTTGACATGACGATTTCTTTTATAAATATTTTGTTTGTAGTTTTTTCTGAAGTCTCATTTTTAACTTTCACCAAATTTATTTTCTTCTAATTTTGAACTTTCGATAAATTATTTTGATAGTGTCCCAAATTTTAATTAGTTGACGACCACACATTAAATTGATCGGTCACTTTTTTATCAAAACTTTTCAACTATATTTTCTGCCAAACTCAGCAAAGCTCCAACTTTTACTATTACTTAGGTGAGTCATCATCTAAATATATTTGGCGTTATGTAATTATGAAATTTCAGTACAAATGTTTTTCGTGAGGCCTTCAGAACAATACGAAGAGAACTGCAGCAAAAACTAGCGTACGTCCTACTATCCAATTTGAAAAATGCAAAAAAAACACATAAACTAAGGTAAGTAAAAATATTTTAAAATGGCTGTCATTTATGTGGTCAGTATTTTTGATTGTTTTTTGTCCGTAAATTTAATAAATGGTCAGTATTTTATAGTTTAAAATTGAAAATCAAACGAACTTACCTTAAGTGATGTTCGATTGTAATTATATAAGAGTCTCGTTCGAGATGATTACATCGTAGTACCGCTACTTTGACTAGATCCAACCACAAGCTTTAGAGAATAAATTTAAAATTTCGGCTTCCCGCCGCCTGCTCCTACGCCGCACCCTAGCGGCTAATCGTCATACAGTTTAAAGCTCATTCCACAATTATGGAATTAAGCTGTAACCAAACTCTCAACTTTAGGGGTGGGAAAAAAAATTTTTCAGGATAAAAATTTTTGGGAGGGCTGTAATCATCTCGAACGAGACTCTTATATAATTACAATCGAACATCACTTAAGGTAAGTTCGTTTGATTTTCAATTATATTACGAGTCTCGTTCTTCGAGATTACATCGTAGATGTTTAGAGCAAACCAACTTAGTCCTTATTCCTTAATACCTGTTACAGAGCTTAATGCCATAATAACATTATTCAAGCTAAACTTAATTTAAGACTTACTTAGACTTATTTTAGACTTATTCACCCTGTTGATTGAATAACCCTCTACAAACGATTCTTTTCTTGGTTCTATCGGGCGTTTGTAGAACTTTGCGAACACCTGTGAGCTGGCTGACCATCCAGCTGTACTCTTTATGATGTTTACATCTAAACCTCTCGCCTCTGCAGCAGACGTGGCTGCGTGTCTCGTGCTGTGAGCAGTGTATTTGGGATCTATTCCGGCTTCCACGAGACAGCGCCTTATCCAGCGGCTTATTGATTGCGCAGTTGCCCTATGGTAGGGCCTCTTAAATGTAATAAACAGGTAGTCTTCATTCCCTCTTAGAACTTTAGTTCTTTTTACGTATTTCAACAACACCGTGGCGACGCACGTGCCCTTTCGCTCTTTAAACAATGGTAGACTGAACGAGGGTTGTGCAACTCCGACTCTAGATGTTTTAATTTGCTCCGATATCTTTATGATCACATTGCTCTTCGAAACTGTCATGTCACTTATTTTGATTAGGGACAATGTCTGAACCCTATGGGCTGTAGCTAAGGCTAGTAAGGATACCAACTTAAAGGTGAGAGATTTTAGGTCCAGGACTTTCAGCGGTCCCAGTGCTTCTGCCCAGTTTAGAAACTGCCTCTGTGCTCCAGGTGGTGTCATATTTAGGCGTCGGTGGTCTGTTTTTAAAGACTCCTTTAAAAAAAACGACTAATTTCAGGATCACTACCCAAGTCTATCGTGCTTATCAGATTAATCGCTGATCTCTCTGAATTAAGTGTGCCGTATGATGCCTCCTGATTGAATCGAAATGTTAAGTATTTTAAAACTAGGTAAATATCTGGTTGTAGGGGGTCTCTCTTTTCACTCTGGCAGTAACTCCACCAGTTTTTAAGGGCTGTGTTGTATTGTTTTAGAGTAGAATCCGTTATTGAAGAGATTAGAATCTCTACAGCTTCTGCTGGCACTAGTTTCTGTTGATACGATCGCCGGAGAGCCTCCCTGCAACCAGGGAAAGATGATCCGCTAACGAATGAATTAGAGACCTGCAAGGAGATAACAGAAGCTTAGGTGAAGGCGAAAAATACAACGGTTCTTCTAATAGCATTGATTTAAATAAGGGAAATCAAGGCTGGGTAGGCCAGTGAGGGACCACCACTATTCCCTGAGCCTTATCTGAATTGATTTTTTGTAGCACCTTATCAACCATCGCGAAGGGAGGGAATGCATAAAAAAGGTATTTACTCCAAATAACTGTAAAAGCGTCAATGTAACGAGCTTCTGGGTCTCGTTTCCAGGAGCAGAACACATCGGTCTTAGCATTACTCCTTGATGCGAACAAGTCTATTTCTGGAAACCCCCACCTTTCTACTATGGTCTGAAAGAAGGGGGCTCCCAACTCCCATTCAGTATCTACATTGACTCTTCTAGATTCCCTGTCTGCGTCTGTGTTTTCCCGCGAGGGGATGTAGGAAGCAAAGATCCAGATTCTTCTTTTCTCACACCAAGTCCAAATATCTTTAGCCCTTTGATTAAGTTCTACGTATTGTACATCCCCCACACGATTGATATACGAAATTCTAAGTAAGATTTCGCAATTTTGGACTTCCCTAGCAAAGCACTTAAGCGCCAAAAACGCTGCTATAATCTCCAGCTGGTTTATATGTAACCTCTTCTCCTCCTGAGACCAAATTCCGTGAGTATTTTCTCCGTTGCAGTGCGCACCCCACCCTGTGAGCGATGCATCCGAGAAAATCTCTAACCTATAATTTAATGACCTAATCGGATTCTTTGCTACTGGAATATTCTTCAGCCCCCCTCCAGATCTTTCTTTACATATGAATGAATGATCATACTTCGATCAAAATTTTGATCGTTTAGGATTAGCGCCTTCATTTTTTCTCTTTCCAACATTTTTGTATACAGCATCCCATACGGTACGCCTGGGCATGATTTGTAATCTGGCTCGTCTTTACTTTTCTCTTCATTTATAATGAACCCCAGCTCAGTTAGAGTTTTTCTCGTGACTGCTACATTTTTCTTGCACACGGCCCGAGATTTGCCGATGCAAAGTGTATCATCTATGTACGCTGTCGATAACCATCCCCTTTCTCTAAGAAAGTTCAGGACTGGCTTTAGTCTTTGTAAATACATACGGACTTGTACAAAGTCCAAAGGGCAAGCATCGAAATTCAAATATTTGACCCTTGAATTTAAATCTTAAAAATTTTCGACTACCCGGACCAATTTTTACCAAGAAATATGCATCTTTCAAGTCTAAAATACATAGAAAATAATTTTTATTTCTTTGCATCCCTCAGTGGCCGCGGCTTGCTGGTTGACTTCGAGACATTGCTGTATGTACTCTTGCTGACCGGCTGAGATGGGGGGAATTTCGTCTGATACTGTTTTAGGCCCTGATACGAGTTCCCCTGTCTCGCATACGGGCCCCGCCAGTTTAAAGTGCGTCTAGGGGCTGGCCTGCTTGGTTTCTTGCTAGTACCAGAGGTCAATGGAAGAGGAGAGGCTTTAATCTCTATGCCGATCTTCTCCATTGACTTTGCAGTTTTTATCTTTTCCGTTAGCTTCTCTCCAAACAACAGAAACCCAGGCTTGGTTGTCTGTAACAGATTTTTCATTGACTTGGTCAATATTGGAGAGATAAACGCTCTTCTAGCTGAAGAGACCTGGAAATGTAGCTGCGTAATTAGTTTTCCTGCATCTGCTAATTTTTCTAGTAACTCCAAACGATCTAGGGGTTCTTCCTCATCTTTTAAAATCATCGTGATGCCTTGTCCTAATGCTGATAAGGCTGAACCAGCTAAGTTCTGTTCTTGGTTAAATAGCTGATCCCTCCTGACACCCGTTTCGTTCAGAGTAGCTGCTATTTCTTCATTTAATTCTGGGGCCTCGAGAGAAATATTCCCCTTTCGAGGATATTTGTCCACTACTTGGACTTTAATCTCTTTCGGCAATCCGTCAGACAGCCAAGATGCCCAACGCGACACCAAGCTCTCATGTAGCTCTACTTGATCTTTTTTCTTAGCCCCTGGATCATCTCCTAGAAGCAGTTCCACCTCGTTATCTAGCTTCTTAGACTCAGCTGCCTCAGTAGACTGGGCATCATCCTTTACTACTAGGCCCTCTTCCACAGCCTGCATCTGCGCGATCTCCTCGAGGATCTTGTCTGAGTCCGAGGTACACCTGACTGACTCTTTGAACCCGGGATCCCCAACTAGAGGATTGACGGATTCATTTTCTTTACCAGGGTCAAACTGATTTCCATCTGCAAGGAAAAATAATTACTTAATTTTTTCCCGTAATGCCAGATGAAAATTTTATGCACTGGTTGTTATTGCCTCCTACGTGCAAATTCACCAGCCTGGACGCCCGTCAAGGTCTGAAATAATTAATTAATTTTTCACCTAATGCCGGATGAAAATTTTATGCACTGGTTGTTATTGCCTCCTACGTGCAAAATTCAGCAGCCTGGACGCCCGTCAAGGTCTCATCATTAATTAATTTTTCCCCTAATGTCGGATGAAAATTTTATGCACTGGTTGTTATTGCCTCCTACGTGCAAAATTCACCAGCCTGGACGCCCGTCAAGGTCTCAAATAATTAATTAATTTTTCCCCTAATGCCGGATGAAAATTTTATGCACTGGTTGTTATTGCCTCCTACGTGCAAAATTCAGCAGCCTGGACGCCCGTCAAGGTCTCATCATTAATTAATTTTTCCCCTAATGTCGGATGAAAATTTTATGCACTGGTTGTTATTGCCTCCTACGTGCAAAATTCACCAGCCTGGACGCCCGTCAAGGTCTCAAATAATTAATTAATTTTTCCCCTAATGCCGGATGAAAATTTTATGCACTGGTTGTTATTGCCTCCTACGTGCAAAATTCACCAGCCTGGACGCCCGTCAAGGTCTCATCATTAATTAATTTTTCCCCTAATGTCGGATGAAAATTTTATGCACTGGTTGTTATTGCCTCCTACGTGCAAAATTCACCAGCCTGGACGCCCGTCAAGGTCTCAAATAATTAATTAATTTTTCCCCTAATGCCGGATGAAAATTTTATGCACTGGTTGTTATTGCCTCCTACGTGCAAAATTCACCAGCCTGGACGCCCGTCAAGGTCTCATCATTAATTAATTTTTCCCCTAATGTCGGATGAAAATTTTATGCACTGGTTGTTATTGCCTCCTACGTGCAAAATTCACCAGCCTGGACGCCCGTCAAGGTCTCAAATAATTCATTAATTTTTCCCCTAATGCCGGATGAAAATTTTATGCACTGGTTGTTATTGCCTCCTACGTGCAAATTCACCAGCCTGGACGCCCGTCAAGGTCTGAAATAATTAATTAATTTTTCACCTAATGCCGGATGAAAATTTTATGCACTGGT